TAAAAGAAAATTAGCTGCCAAACAACCCTATTTGGAAAGCAAGAAAATAAAAGTGCAGAAGAAAGTAAATGCAAAAAACTTAAAACTAAAATCTACAAAATCTATCTAATTCTCCTCCTTTGGTTGACCCTTTTCCATTTATTTATTGGTAAATGAGAGTTACCTCAACTCCTAAAATTTTAGCAAAAATATCTAAGTGTTACCAATCTTTTAAATCATTCTTTTATTTTCCTACATGGCTTTTGCTTCTTTGTTTTGCTCTTTTAGCTCTCATTGTTTTCAAGCTCTTTTCAAGATCCTTTGCACTCCAATACTATGACAATGGGAGACCTTCAAACAGCCAACTCAGTAACTCCATTTAGTCTTTTTTGAATTACCAAGAGTGGCACCAAGGTGCATTAATCATGTGATGCTTATATCCATGGCACACTTATACTCTAGCAACTTAATTTTTGGTGCCCAATACAACATTTTTTTTTGTTTTGCTGCCAAAATTCAAGTCATTAAGTAAAAGAATTATGCAATATAATCCTTAGAAAAATTCTAGAAAATTATTAATTCAAAAATAGCTTTCAACTTCCTAATGTAACTATTACATTTCAAGCATGTATAATGATACTTAAAAAGTGATAATGTAATATTGAGCTAAGGAAGACAATTCCAAATAAGAATTATGAGAATTGAGACTTGAAATAAGATTTCATGAACTTCATTTAAGCTTAAAAAAATCATAAAAGAAAGGGTTAAGAAGACCTCCCCTAAATGGCAAGCTAAAACAATCACATTAGTTATGACATTTTCTAATTTTTACCACCATAAATCTTTCAAAATAAATCCAAATATTCCAAAATTCCTCATTTTTTATATTTTCTCCTACACATGAGACAATTATGTATTTAAGGGTATTTTTGTCAAAATTCTTAAGGATCAAGTTAAAAATAAAAAGAATTTGCACTAAAAATGAGTAAAAAATACTAAAATTTTAATGTAATCACAACTCCTCTATATAGGACCTACTATACGCTTTGAGGTAGTAGAGCCAACCCCTAATCTACTATAGCATATACAAAGTCAAAATTATATTCACCAAGGAGACCCACCCATTTATCTTACAATAAATGAGGTAGGTTACTAGAATTGCCCAAGTAATTGATGCAAGTTGACTTGCTACAACATCGAAGGTGTCCAAAAACAGATGAAAAATTGGGTTCAAGGGATGATGGAACCTTTGCTTGAAGTTATGCAGGTAAAATCCTACCATTCTCTCAAACTCCTTCACCTGGTTGATGGTAAACCCTAGAGGAGGCAATGAAACCTTGTACATGGGATCTTATGGGTTAAAGATGTTGGGAATATTGACTCAAATCCCATAAGAGATTGTTTGAGATTTGTTTGAGATTTGTTTGAGATTTATTTGAGATTTGTCAGATATTGCTTGATGGACAAGAAGACTTGCAAAAGAAGAATTCCAAGAGAAAGAGGATTCTTAATAGGTAAGTTTGACTTGCAAGAGAAGAATTCTAAAAGGAAATAGATTCTTAATAGGCAAGTTTGACTTACAGGAGAAGAATTCTAAGAGGAGAGGGATTCTTAATGGGCAAGTTTGTATGGTTATAAATAGGTGAAGTCTTTACAGGATTTGGTATGGAAAAAAGATGTAATAGAGTTGTAGGATTTTGTGAGATAGACACTTTATAGGAGTATTGGGGCTCTACGTCTTATGTGTGTGTATGTTTGTTTGTGAGTGAACTAGAGGAGACTGAGATGGTCCACATAAGTATGATATATGAGAGCATATGGGTATGTGTTTGGTTATGTTGAAAAGGTGCACAAGGGTTTGGGTTTGTATTTGTTTGGGTAGAGAATACTTCATAGGACTAGAGGAGATTGAGAGTATCTTATGAGTATTGATTGTTGAGTGAGGTTGATGATTTGATGTAAGTTTGTAATTCTCTACAACTAATGGATCTTTTTTCTCATCCGTGGATGTAGGTCAGTTGGACCGAACCACGTTAAATTGTTGTCTCTTATGTGTTTGATTTATTGTTTGATTTTACTTCCGTTGTGTGATTGGATTGAAAGCTTTTAGCCCAACAAAAGGCCATACAATCCAATACTAGCTCCAACATAGATCGGTTGGTGTGATAAGGACATCTGTCTGGTGGCCACGAACCTCGAGCTAAATCCTTGGGCTCCTTTATAACAACCCCTTTCCCTTTATCTTTATTTCTTTTTCCTTTTTCAGTAATAAGAATAGCCATTTTAGCCAAAGAGGCATTTACTTCCTTGATAAAAATACCATACTCATGAGCCCCACTACCTTGGCTAGATTGATTACTATGACCCTTTCCCTAAGCCCTCTCCACATTACCTTGGGACTTGTCAACACCTTCCTTCTTATCGCAGCCACCAATGTTGGTGGCTGATGCCTTACCTTTCTCATTACTTGAAATAACTATTTTCTTTTTTGGTGCCTTTGATTCTCCTCTCTTACAAATGATCAAACAAACAAGCAAAAAATAGAAATAAAAATGCTTACCCACATAAAATTTTTGGAAAAAAAGCTTTGAAAGTTGCAGAAAACAAAAGGCAAAAGTAGGAAACAGTAGTACTCTCGAAAACAAATAAGCAAAGGTGAAGTCTAAAATTCCTAAGTCCTTTTTTTTTACATTGAGCCAAACAACATGAGTGAAATGGCACCTATTTGGAATATTTCAAATATTAAATGACATCTTTGAAACAACACTTGTTTTAAACCATTTCAATTGGTTCATGAATGGTAAAAAATTAATCCCTTTTTAAAAAACCTTTCGATTACCCTTTTTTAAAAATAAAAACATACATTCCCCTTTAAAATAGAAACTTTTCAAAAATCACACCTAATAATTACATATGATAGCCCTCTAATCCTAATGTAACACATAGCCTAACCAACCATAACATACAAAAACACAGGCTCGTGCTATACGCTACCTCAATTGAAACTCTCCACTCACATGCGCTCCACATGCAAGTGTCAGAATTTCACACAAAGTTTTTTCTAAGTCCTCACGTAAAACTCTCTGTGACTTAACCAAACCCACAACTCACCACAACATTTTCCTTTCGCTTTAGAATGACACATTATCACCTAGACTCATTGAGACCACGCATCTTACCTCACTGTGACACCAGTGCAAAACTGTCCACCAATAATGCTTTTCTTGCCTAAACAATGACATGTCACCACAGTCAACTCACGAAGCTAGAGTCACCTCATCGACAAAAGATATCTCTTTTCAGTCTTTGGATAACGATCTGAAGACAGTCACTTTTTAATCCCCTTTAGACCTAGAGGTCAATTGTCACATCATTTACCTAGTCAAAGCTTGGTCAACACGATCGAACCTCTGGGTCACCCAGATAGTGCACACCGAAATTACCATATCATTAATACCCAAAGAAACGACTCTCCCATAGCTAAGAAAAGGATTCGTTTAATGTCCCCAATGATGTCCTATCAAGACATCATATCAAAACTGAACATTTTACCCCTAACTTGTTTGTGATCATTAAATGCAACACATGCCTGTTTAGAATCATTAAACGTGACTCGTAGCCACCCACGTGGATCCTTATCAAGCTCAACGTATATTTCACATCAACTGTCAACTATCCCGGTCAGGTCAATACCCCTTGTCTCATATACAACGTAAAGATAAGTCACAGGTACATAGGACAATACAAAAACTTCACATTTAAGTAATTTCCCGCTATTGTAGCTTCCTACACATATCTCACCTCCTTCCACAAATTTTCTCATACATTTCATTGACTTAAGTGTCAGAGTGCACCCAAAGAAATAATTCCAGCACCCTCTCATTGTGCTTTTTGGCTACAGGTTTAAGCCATACAGTCTTCAACAACCTCACACCAGCTCACTCAAGCTAAGGCATAAAAAAATACCCTCAACATGATCATATTAGTACATTTTGATTAAAAAAAGGGAAAGGAAAAGAAAATGTAAATCTCCAAAATTTGCTTTCGGTAAACAGCAGTTATCTCTTTGCGGAGCCGCCAATGTTATTTCGGAAGATGGCTTTCACCAAATAGTTTGTTGCGCTTTCATCTATATGTCTGTTCCTCTTTTTAGTAGGGACTATTGGTTATGTTTTCTTCTGTTCCAATGCAATGTGATGCTACTATGTGGGATTAAAAAAATTCCAAGTTGATATATTTGACGTTTTCTGGAAATTATTTTAATGCACTTAGTTCTCATGATTTCGTTGCCTTAGAAGAATTATTTTAATGAACCATAGTGTATGTGGCAATTTGTGTTTAATTGCGTACCTAACATGTTAGTATGAGATTGTATGAGCCTACATCTGATTCTAAGGGTGACTTTAGTCCTGAACTTCCAGCAAAAGGGAAAGGACATCTGTTCCGGTAATAGTTGTAAGGTTGGATTTGATTCCCGCTGCCCCGTGAAGGGTTTTTTTTTTTTTTAGGCCGCAACTTGAGAATATAGAAAGGGTACAGGTTTAGATTTGAATTTTAATTCTGCTGGATCCCAATTTTTTAAGAGTGATTGCAGATCAACTAAACTAAACTCCTAGTTTTCAATTTCTTTATGATACTTGTGGTTGCTATAGATATGTTTTGCATATTGTTTCTTCTTACATCGGCTATTTTACTTAAATTATTTTTGGTAAGAGCTGTTATTATTTAATTATGCTATAGACCGAAGGGACAAGGTTTCATACTTTCTAATGAAGAAATTTTTTTAGAAAGCAGGACTAGGAACATACCAGCTTTGTGGATTTTGGACTACAACCATTACTATACTAGTGTTAGGCTGAGTGTTACAATTTTTTATATATTTATTGTTACCAGAGATGTTCACACTTGTTAGTCACCCAACTACATACAGGTAGACAAAGTATGTCTTCTTTTCTTTTGATTTTGCAAAGTCAGAGTGCGTGGATGGGCAATGAGTTGTATCTAACTGCAATATACGATTAAGGGCACCTGAAAATAGCTTTATTGTTATCATTATGCAGTTTTGTAACGTTAATATGTTTGTATGCTTGTTGCAGGAGCTGTCGGTCATAGGCCTACACCATTGCATAATGTGATGCCAATGCAATTGCATAACACCTTGCCAATTATGTTTACAAATGTTGCTTCAGCACATTTTCATAACGTGGCTACACATTGGCATTACAACTGCCCGGGACTAAAAACTGGTTTTAACAATGACTTTTAGCCTTATTGACCTTATTTTTCCTTTCCAAGGACAATTATACAGTACTTTGTTTGGGAAGATGGAAGGGGATTAGAGAATGTCTGGATTAATCTCGTTTGGGAGGGTTTTTCTAAAACTCAACTTCTTTCATTTGCTAGCTATAGGTTTTGATCATTCAGCAATCTTGTTGGGATAGGAAAGCTGAAATAAGATTCAAGTTTGAGGGTCTTCTGGTCTTCTGGTCTTCTGGCAGAAACTGGAGTAGTGTGAAGATATTATAAAGGAAATGGTTCTCAAAAACTGAGAAAAATTAACATTAGTTCATCTGCACAGCATGAGTAATGATGGACCATGAAGCAACGACTGCCACCAAGACTGAAGCAATGGAAGATGAATTTTATGGCCTGGTAGGAGTACTTACGCCTTGTTCCATCCCATACCCAAATACATTATGGTTGAATGTTGAAATAAATGGTGTAAGATTCATCTCTGAAGTTCTGTAATGGTACCATAAGAAAATTCCTCCTTGCCCCTTTTGCAACAAAGCTGATGCGATGATATTCACTTATTCCCTTGTTCATGACAAAGCTGATCGCCTGATTGAATCCAGCCTCAGATGATGCTGAATTGCAGCCGAGCTTCATGTTAACACTAGAACTATAGTTTGCACCACTATATACATAGCACCCCTTTAGGCTTAATGATTCCAAGGACACACTATCATCCTTTCCATCCAATCCAGCAACTAAACGAAAACTAGAAGTTGCCTCATCATTAGGAGAATCAGTTACCGCAAGGTTATTTTCTGTTCCTTGATGCACTAAAACCATTCCTGGAAAATCAAAAGGCTCAAGCATGACTGTTTTACCAATGGCTTCTTCAATGGTTGAAATTTTTTCGGAAGTGTCATCAATGATGAGCCTGAACGTGGCATGAACAGCAGCATCAGAACCGGCTCTAGGGAGCTTCTCCATTCTGATTAATTGGTTTGAGTTTGTTAAGACAAAAGTTGAGTCACCAGACGCTTGGGAAAAAGTAACAAGATAATTGTTATATGCAGCAGGAACAGGCACTATCCAGTCTGCAACTGAAGCAGTTGAATCAGTTTTTATGTCCCAGTCACCACTGCTATAACCACTAAGGAGGTAAGGACCATAGAGTATTGCCTGAACAGAAGCATATTCAGCGCGATCATCTGAAATTTTATTAAAAGAAAAAAGTTAAGTGCTACATTAATGATTATTTTGCAGATTACAGAAACATATACCAAGGAAAACACACTTTTTCGCATGCACAGGGAATTGGAAATTTATCATTCAAGAAAGATACCTTTAATTGGCTCTGTTCTCAGACTAATTGGCCACTGAATGGTTAATTTATCCCCGGCAGTCCATTTTACAGATAAGAAGCTACCTGCATTGAAATGCAATTCAAATTGTACCCTCATTATTTATATAACATTAAAAGAGAGCATTTGAAAAGAATCTGCATGTTTGAGAACTGACAACCTTCTTAGAAATTAAGAGCAGAAAATTATGATCATATTTCACACCTGAAGGGGGTAGGTCTAGATTCTGAGAATTTAATGTTGCATTGGCACCTTCCAACTGCGTCCAGATTGGAATCCTCAAATTCAAGGTAGATGATTGCCCTGCTCCCTATACAAATCAGATTCTCAAAATCTTTCCATGTTTCCTTCAAATATAACTAATTAAGTATAATATTAGGTGCACCCCTGATGAACTGAAAAGTAAGTAAGAACTTGCATGGAGTTGAGAACAATACAAGGAAAATAGGGTCCTGGATACAATTTTCATTTTGGCTTCAACTAAGAAAATTAAGAGTGGAAATAAAGAAGAAGAAGAAGAGTAGAATCGCAAATGGACTTCTATTTTAGGAAAACAGGCACGGGCCAATAACAGACAGAACTGGTGAAGAGAACTATCATCTGGTTCCATTTTATGGTTTGAATTCTATAAAGGATATTAACATGACTAGATATTGTGTTAAAAACTTAAAAGTCATAGCTTCCAATGTACAAGAACTACTTCTGTTCATCTTGATAATCACGTAATGCCACTCAAAGAAACAACTAGTTGAAACTTCAGAACCCCACTATAAAAGGTTAACATAGAAAAAAAAAGTATAAAAACAGAAAGAAAGGAATTTAGCAATCTATGCTTTTTCTTTCAATTTTTTTTTTCTTTAATGGGTCAAGCTTTTGCTCTACCATGTGAAGTCTTACTCATATGTACCAAAGATAATAAATAATAAAGTCAAACGTAGAAGACAGGAGCCATGTTTAATCGTGACATTTTGCAAGTTTCTTGTATCAGTTAATATAATGGCATAAAAGGGAATATATATATGCAATGAAGCCCTGCTTGGACCATAAAATAAATTAGTTGCTTCAAGTACCTCTTTCAAAGAGGAAGTCAATGTCACACGAAGGTAAGGATCCCAAGATACAACAGGATCAACATTCTGCTTGAGCACAATTTTTCCCGATTTCCAATCAAGTGTGCTTGAAATATACTGAATGATGTAAAGACTAGGAATACTCCCTTCCTCTTCAAAATATATAGAATCTCCTAACTTGGAAAATGATTCAATTCCTGCAGAGAGAGCAAGAAGGAACACCAATAAATGATGGGAAGAACTGGAAATATCACTTCTACAGCCATGAGGGTTGGAGAAAGGTTTATTGCAGTTAATTCATCATGAAAGGGATAGTTATATGGGCAATGATCCCCAACCTGTACCATAGCAGCACCAAAAAGAATCAAATGGTGTTCCCCATTTGTGGTAGCTTACGGCCTTAGAGACCCCCCGACCTTGTGGTAGCATGTAAATCATTACTCCAGGCTCTGTTCCCCTTTGGATGCCTAGTACACCATTTGTGAGGGTGCGCTCATAGTAATCTGCATATGCAACTTCTTTGGTCCATCTAAATAGGTTGCGAGAGACCTAAAACCGCCACAAAAATGTGATTCATTTCTGATAGGAAGAAAAGGAACAGAGATGCAACACAATTGACAGATAAAAATCACTTCTCACTAGCTAAATAGAATTTCTTCTTTAAAAAAAGAAAAAAAAAAACTCAAAAGAAGGAGAAAGAGAGAGAAAAGGACACGTCATAACTCATAAGGATATTCCCTGCACAAAAAAATTGTTTTAATATTGCCAGTCGCCAAAGAGCATCCAGTATTAAAATTAATAAGTTCAGGCATGAACTTCAAGCATTGAACAGCAATGGACATACCTTCAGCATGTTATATGTTGTGCAGGATTCTTCATTCTCTGTCTCTAAAGTGCTTGCCAATCGTTTTGGATCTGACCTTCTCATAGGCAAATGCAATGAACCACAACAGGATAGGACCAGCAATGAAAGGAACAAAAGTAATTAGATAAGCTTCAGACCATTGTTCTAAACAGCACATTAGGAGAGCACATTGAAACTAGGTAGGAGGAAAAGATTATTTGATAACAAAAAAGTAACTTATATCTTGAAAATGGCAAAGTTAGTACCAGAACTCGCCGACTGAGGTTCCTCCTGTTGCATAGCTATGAGAAGAATTAACAATGTCCATAAAGAATGTTGCTATTGTCTGGCATTACAAAATTAAAAATAAAGAAATTAAAATGCTGCAAAGAAGTAGTACCATTTAATTGAGAACCCCTAAACCATGGAAAAAGAAATCTCAACAATAATTATGCAAGCTTTCATAACACACTAAGAAAATGACATATCAAGCAGCAGTCAGAAATCAGCATGGTAAGGGCAGAAATGGTGGCATATTCCACTTTAGCTATGTTTGAGGAATTCGTTCTGAATTGGATGACTTAATACAGCACTGAAACCACGTTTTTAGCTGCTTATTACTGTTCAGTGTTTGTTTTCTGTCAATCTCTTCTTTTCATAACCCATATGATAGATCCATCTGTCTGAAGTATTCCATTGGGTTAAGTTAGGGATTCATAGTGGCCTTGTATTCATGTTGGGCCACCCACTCCACCTATCTCCAATTAATTTGAGGTTGAATGCCTTTATAGAGAAGGGATACAAATGGGCACTGTACTTCGAATGGAATAAATGTACATCAAGCAATTTACCTTATAAAGTGGATCACCAGTCACTTCATACCGCATTTGAGATCCAATAACAACAGGAATGTGCGTATTGGCATGGAAGCTTGATATATCATCAGCCTACAAGAAAAATAAATAAAGTTGTCAGAAAAACCAGGAACTAATAGTACACAGTAACAAAAAGAATATTTGTCTCATTACCTTCTTTCTGCTTTCTTCATACAACAAAAGCCTACTTCTTTGATAAACCAGAAACCACTAACCACCTCTGTAGCTCTGCCTTACCCGAGGATTCATAATCTATATATTTTTTATGCCCAGAAACTAAAGCTCTCATAAATTCATTATTCAAAGTCTAGGTCATCTGGAATATATTTTTTCTGCAACATAAGAATTTAATATGTTCTACCTGGAATAACCTTCTGTACTTGACTTTAGATCAATTTTCTGGTCAAAACTTTCATCTCAAATTTCAAAATATTCCCTTTTTTTTTCTTTGAACACACCTAGATATATTTTTACAGAAGTCAAGAAAATTTCACCTAACACTTCAAACTGAAGCTCCACAAGATTGATGAGTTCTCAATGGTTTAGAAACGAATAACAGCATATTGTCAATTTGGTTTGGGCTAATATTTATCAGTCTGAAGGACACATACAAAGCCAGCAGATTGATCATAAAAATCAAGAGTTTTTGAACGAAAGTAATCTTGAAAGTTACCTGAACTGCAAGCAATCCTAGAAAACAAGGTTTGTCAAAAAGGTGAGCCAACAACAAATGCTTTGGATCTTCCTGTACAAAGTAACACAAAAACTCATCAAATAAAATTCAAAATTTAATCTAAGAACCCTGCAACTAGACTGAGAGAGACAGTGGTAAGAATGCTGCCAGCTTTACAAGTCTAAATGCTAGGTAACAAAATTTACAGCTTAGAAAAACCAACACATCAATCATACTAGGCAATTTCTTGCCATAACGGTGCTACCTCTTTCAATTATAGCTTGGATTAGTTTGATAGAGACACAAATAGCTAACAGAGTGACTGGTTACATCATGCCATGAACATTCAAAGGCTTGCTTCTCATTAAGCATTGCAAGTCCAATAGACTTTCCAATGTTATTTGCAACTGTTGGAGGAAGAAACTAGTCCATTATTGTGTGTGATTGTCAAACCTATTGCCAGAGTATGTGCAGGTGAACATCACTAGAAAGCATGATATGATATCCACAACTAAACTCATATTTCCTGTATAAATGAAAGTACCAGATGTCTTACACATCTGGCTATGCAAGAAAGCAAGAATCCAAGTAGAAGCTGAAGGAATTATATGAAAAAATTTACCCACCGTTATGGCAAACAACCTGTAGAGAACATCATTCATACCACCAGTTTCTTCATTAAGTGACAGCCAATGTCTCTCCACACTGTACTTTGTTATCACATTCTGAACACGATTATAAAAGTATTTGGCCATCCATCTTGTCATATCTAAAGCTTGAGCATTACTAGCAAATATATATTGATCCAAAAGACCTGCCAAGATCTGTGAAATAGATCAAGTTAGAAGTTATTATGCATCTCCTTAAAACAAAGCCACAGAACCAAAATCTACCTTATGAACGGTATAGTATGGAGCCCAGACAGGTTTTATTGCTTCAAAGCGATCAAAAAATTCAGATGGAAATGCAGAAAGATATCCTGTGCCCATTTTCTTCTGACAGGCAGATAATGCAGACACAACTGCCAACATCTTCTCTTTAAGAGTGTCATTGTGAGTGCTGGCCCACATCTGAGCTGTTGCACTCAAGTAATGCCCTTCAAGATTCAAAAGGCAATTTAACCATTATAAATTTACAACCAATGAAAACTGAAATTTCAAAAACTACAATAAAAGTTGAGAGCTGTTCACTTGCTTCAAGCACATTAAACTTAATCAATACTTATGGATAAAACGAAAGTAAGATAGCAAAGGTATCTAAACATTTTCCAAAATAACGTGGCAGGAAACTTGAATAGAATCTATCCTCAACAGCTACAAAATGGAAGAGATCTAACTTCAGTCAGAACTGAAAAGTAAATATTACAAAGAGAAGTCCTCTCATAATACTGTAAAGCAAATTTACTCAAAAGCCTTCACTTTACCAACTGAGCAATGCATTATATACCAAGACTAGCATCATAGACCAAACCTATTACTTTGATGTCAATAAAGATTTAATCTCACAAGGACTTATAAATGATTATATGACAACCAAAATCCACTTTTAAGGTCCCAACTTAGTGGTAATGACAGGAGACGGTTTGTACTTAAAATGATTTATCAGAGGAAGCATACTAGTGAAAGATATGAATGCAGAACATATCAGACTATTAAGCAAAATCTGAAACAAACAAAGCCGATTTTAGTATCATGAATTTTTTTGGCTGCAACAAATAGTGAAAGGTATGAATAGAGTACAAATCCTTTATTAAGCATGATCAAAGGCTAGAAAAAGGGAGCCAGTGATGTATAAATGAGAATTCTTGCCAGCCAAGATTGAGTTATCAGTTTAGAGAAGAGAAAAGAAAAAGAAAACAAAAGAGAGAACTCTTAACAAGCCAAAACCTTACCTCCAAAAAGGAGGTCCCAAATTCAAATCCCCGATCCCCCAAGTTTACTCTTAAATCATAAATTCAAAAGTTACTGTATGGAAACCAGAAAAGGAGTCAACTTAAAGATCAGGATGAAGAATGGGATGATTAATGTGCCATTCATTCATTATACTATTAAAGGTTATAAAGGAACCTCTTCTAAATGAGCAAAATGTAATAGAATTCATCATTCTGCATCAGAATAACAAAATCCAATAATAATTTGCAACGAAAGGCAGGAAAGCAGTATAATAAAAAATTTTTACAACAAAGAAATCGAACTAAAGCCATGATTACCAATAAAATGACCCCGGAGTTCAACATCTGGGGCCTCCCACCCTCCATATGGCTTCCCAGGTGTTGGCAATCCTGCGGTTTTCCTAAAACTCCAAACCATATTATCCACATCAAGCATCAATAAATACTCTAAGTTTGTCTGATGTGCTCGCCCGTGAATGGAATTCGAATCCAACCTGACATCATGCAATGAAACCTCCTTCAGAAAATCTCCAGCCAACTTGAAACTACGAGGATTCTTCATTTTCTTATACATCATTGACCAACTCAATTCATCTTCTTCTCTTAAAATTTTCCTTGGTAACAAATTAGACCAAGCAGAGTCATCAGTTGGGATCAAGTGGTAATGAGCAAACATCTCTTGCTTCCATGTTTCATTTTGTGATTTCAACAGTTCATAACGAACACTATGAGATGAAAGCTGAGTTGGACTGTTTGTACACTCCTTGCTCACCACAATCCCACATAGTAAGAAAATACCAAACACTGGAAACAGAACAAAGCCCTCCATTTTTCTTACAATGAAAAGTTCAAAAACAGAAGAAAAACACCAAATCTTTGTGTCGAATTCAAGCAAAGATGATACAAAAACTCAAAAAGGAGTCACAGAAATCCTCTAAACTTAAGGAAAAGCCATGATCATTATCGAAAACCCAGAAAGGACAACCTTATACTTATTGATTTGGATATTCCCCACAAACCAAAAATCCTTAAAAAATATGAGAATAAAAAAAATTCTGACTTTATTAACAAATACCCAGAAAGCTAAAAAGAATTCAGAGAAGAACAAGAGTCCAAAAAAGGCAACAAAGACAAACTTCAAGCTAAAAAGATTAAAGACAAGAATTAGACTAGTAATAGTTTAAAGCATAAAGCAACAAGTAACCCTTTTCCCTGTATCTATACACAAAACCAAACAGAGCAAACGTTCGAGCATTTCAAGCAAAGCTCACAAAAAAATTATCTCGTGAAAGGTAAGAAAGGCTTTTTTTTCCTTGCAAAGTAAATAAAATTTTTTTTTATATATAAATGAAAATTAAAGATATTTGCTAGGGAGGAGACCGAGAAGAATCGCGGATACTAAGTCATTTTCCAAGGGGTTTGGTTTGGTAGCTATGTTGTTGACTGAGGCGGAGAGAGATTATATTTACAATGAAAGAGATAATCAAGAAGTAGATGAACATGAGTGAAGCTGCCATCAAATCGGGCTTGATTACATAGATATTTTTAAGAATGAATTTTAATAAATTTAATATTTTAATTTTAATAATTTTTTATTTTTAAATTATGACTTTTTTTCGTGTTGTTGATTACTTTTTTAAGAAATAAAGGTTTTTTTTACGTAGAAAATTCATTGATTTATGAAACGATACTTTCGTCATGTACTACATAAGATATAATGGTACGACACTCATCAATCCATTGTATCTCCTTTGCTATGATTGCATATAGAAGTGAGTAAATGATTAATTCGATCGATTTGATTTGAAAAAATTAATAATCATTTAATTAATTTTTATTTAATAAATAATCGAATCGATCAAATATTATTAAATAATTAATTATAATCAAATCGATCAAAATTGATTCGGTTCGGTCGATTCGATTAAATAATCGATTTTTTATTATTATTATTTTTTTTATTATGAATAATTATTTAATTATAAATTCAATTCAATAAAATTCAAACTCTAGTATCATTCAAACTAAATTACTAAATAATTTAATAATTTTAACAATATTTTATCAAAAAAAATAAATAAAAATATTTATTTCAATTTTTTTATTTTTAATTATTAAAAAGTAGGTTAATTCGATCAGTACGGTTATCAATTTTAAAAATCGAAAATCGATCGAATTAACCAATTTAATCGATTTAAAAAATCCATTATAATTAAAACTAAATAAACCGAACCGATTCAACCGAATTCACTCGGTTTTGATCGGTCTAGTCAGTTCAAATCGACTTTTGCTCACCCCTAATTACATACTTTGCCAATCTGGATGCAGCTATGTCCTAAAATATAAATTTATAAATTCATAATTAAGCTTAATAAGAAGAGTCATTATTAATATTTTTTAATTAAATATGATTAATTATGTAATAAATATATTATTTTAAAAAAATTTTAAGTTTAATTAAGAGTTTTTAAAAGAATAAATTTTGATCTATTAATTAGGATAGAGTTCAAAATTTTAGTTACGTATAAAAAAAAGTTATAACACCTTTACATATTAATCTAAAAAATAGTATTATTTTATTTTAAAATTATTTTAAAATTTTGATTCTAATGATCTTAAATTTTAATATTGAATATTAAAAATAACTTTTAATATTTCTCCATCAATCTGATAAAATTCTTAAATATATTTTTTCACATTAAAAATATTCAATAATCACATTTATTAAAAATATTTTCTCACCTTAAAAATATTTCTCCATCAATCTGATAAAATTCTTGAAAAGGTTCTGTTATAAAAAAAAAGTTTAATCATTTTTTATTTTTATTTTTTATATTGAAAATATATCTAATTCAAGAATATTTTATCACCTAAAGAGTATTCAAGAATATATCTTTAAAATATTTTAAGTATTCAAGAATATATCTTAAGAGTATTCAAATAATTAAAGAATATATCTTAAAAATATTTTACACCTTAAGAATATTAAAAAATCTCATTCCTTAAAAATATTTTCTCACCTTAAAAATATTTCTCTATCAATTTGGTAGAATTCTTGAAGAGGTTCCATCGTCAGAAAAATGTTAAATCATTTTTTATTTTTGTTTTTTATATTGAAAATATATTTAATTCATCCATCATTTGAGTTAAATTAGAAATATCTTCTCACCTAAAATTTTTTTAAATAATTATCCGTTTATGATTACTAAGAATTTCATTTTCGAATTTTACTTTTATTTTTATTTTATTTTATTTCTAAAATTTTCATCATTTTAGTCTATTTAAAAATATTTTTGTTAGTTTTTAATCTTTGGAAAGAAAATAATATAACAATTATTATTTTTTAAGTTTCATTTAAATTCTTCCATCATTTAGGATAAATTTAAAGAAATTTCTCACCTAAAAATTTTTTAAAAAATTTATCATTTGAAATTTTTAAGATTCTCATCATCCTTGGATAATTATCAAATATTTTCAACAAAAAATTTTTTATTTGAAAAAAGAATACAATTACTTTTATTAAAATTTTATCTAAATTATTATACCATTTAGAACAAATTTAGAGAATTTTCTCATCTAGAGATTTTTTAAAAAAATTACCATTTGAAAATAATAAGAATTCATCATTGGGTAATTATTATTTAATTTCAAAATTAAATTTTTTTTATTTTTTTAAATTGAAAATAAATATAAATTATTATTATTATGGAAACTTTCTCTAAATTATTCCACCATTTAAAACAAATTTAGAAAAAACTTCTCACCTAAGAATTTTATAAAAATTTACCATTTGAAATTTCTAAAAGTTTCATTATTGGATAATTATTATTTATTTTCAAAAAAATATTTTATTTTTTTTATATTTTTTTTTTTTTTAAATTTAATCATACAAAAATACTTAAATAAATAAATAAATAAAATAAAATAATACAAAAACAGGAAAACGGCTTAGCTTGGCTAAAAAACTCGGCTCGCTTGTAGGCAATGGAAGTGGCTAGAATGGTGCAACTCACGGCTTGGGTCGACTGGAGCCAAAGACAGGGACATGGGTCGAAAACGAGTCAAATACTCGAGTCGGGTCGACTTGAATAGAAACACGCAGATCCTAAGCTGTTTAACTTCTAAAATGATGTCATTTTTGGGTGGTATAAAAAGCAAGAATCTTTTTTTTTCCTCAGATCTTCTTTTTTCCTTCTCTCTCTTCTTATCTTTTCCTCTCTCTTTAAAAAATAATGAACACTAGTTTAATTTTTACCAGATTCTAAAAATTTATGTCAAAATTTGGATTGATTCATCGAATGTTCATCGAAAGCTCATCAGTTTCTAGAAAACTGACTTCAAAAACTAAGAAACTTGCCAAATTTTGGAAATCTCATCAGAAAGTCATCGAAATCTTCAAATATCGTCAAAAAATTTAACTGAAAATTGAAAATTTTCTAGAAAAATTTTTCAAACAAAATCTTCTTTTTAACCCAAAAATCTTTAAAAATTTTTGTATTCTTTGGTTCTTTTACATGCTTTTTTCTTTTATCTCTATGTACATTTTTTTGCTTTTTTATGTGTTTTTTGAAGCTTAATTAGAATCTGTATTTATAAGGTTCTGATCCAAAGAACCTTAATCCAGAAAAGATTTTGATTCCCTTTAAACCTTCCCTTTAGATTTTAAGTCCAACTTAACCTTTCCAATCCACACACATAGTTTCGTACAAACTCAACCACTGATTTTTTTTCTTTTTATTATTTATTTTTTTAATTAACATAAAAAGGTAAAACCGTATATAGATTGTGGTATTTATAATTGCCCATTATTTATGCATTTTTTGTGAACCAAGAATTATGTAAGAACGTAAACAATTCAATCAAGAATCAACTTGACACATTTTTCCTTTTTTTTTTTTTTTTTTTTTTGAGCATACTCAGACTTCTAGAATAACATAAAAACTCCTTTAAATAGAGATTTCACATCTTTTAAGAAATAAATAAAACTCTTATAAGTAGAGGCTTAATGACTTTGAAAAATAAATAAAGTTCCTCTAAGTAGAGGCTCAATAACTTTGAAAACTAAATAAAGGTCTTCTAAGCTAAGACTCAACAACTTTTAAAAAATAAATAAGGCTCATCTAAACAGATGCTCAACAACTTTGAAAAATAAATAAAGCTCCTCTAAACAAAGCTCAACAACTTTAGAAAAGTAAATAAAGCTCCTTTAATCAAAGGTTCAGCTACTTTTTAAAAATAAAGAAGACTCCTCTTAACAAAGGCTCAACGACTTTTAAAAATTAAATAAAGCTTTTCAACAGTTATGTCTAGAGGTCTTATAGATCATCAAAAGAAATTATAGGAGATTATACTTAGAGATCATACAAATCATTCCTAAAAGAGAAGAATGTTGCTTTAAGGAAAGGCTTCACAACTTTTATAACTATTTTTCTTGAAACATAATTTTCCAATTATCAAATTCTTACCTTAAAGGTCTTCCTTTTTCAAATGAGAATTTAAACCTTTTTCATTAGAAAGTTTTCATATATATCTTCTTCATATGGTATCTTGAAATATCCTTGCTTTATGCACTAGACATTCTTAAATGCAATGCATACTATGCACTAAACATTCAAAAATGCAATGCAAGTCATGCAAATGTCAAGCTTTCCTCCAAAAGTTCAAAATTTATTGTCATGAAAATTTTCAATCATTCATTAAAGTCAAAACTTTGTAAAGAATGTCATGATAATGATGTAAATGCTTTCTTAATGATGTAAATATAACAGTTTAGATTTTCACAATACTATAGATGTCATATTCTAAATCACGATTCAAATATTTACTGCATGATGCAAGTGTATAACCATACCAAATTACATACATGTATTGTTCAAACTACAATGCAAACGTAATGCATGTAATGCAGATGTCACTAATATTAATGTCATGAAATTGTAACTAATTGTGGTAATATGGTTCTTAAAACTCCACTATCTCTCATTCCCATTTTAGCTTTTCAACACTAGCCATTTTAGAATAAATTCTCTCAATTGACCTACATTATTTTCATTATTTGATCACAACTAACAAGCTTCTCAACACTAGCAATTTTAGAACAAATTTTATCCATTGATCTACATTATTTTCATCACTTGATCACAACTCATAGGTTTCTCAGCACTAACAATTTCAAAATAAATTTCATCCACTGATCTACATTATTTTAATCACTTGATCACAACTCACAAGTTATGTCAATACTCATAATTTTTGAATAAATTTCATCTAATAATTCACGTTATTTTCATCACTTGATCACAACTCATAGGTTATGTTAATCAATCCATTACCATATTCATCACTTGATCAGGTTATGTGTCCTTTCAAATCATCTTTTAGGTTTCTACCATTTTTCCCCATCATCCTAGATTTCTTTTCAAAGGAATGTAAGAATCTTTTATGAACATTATCATTCATTCATTATTATTTCAATTCTTAACAAATATAATGCAGTCAGACATTTTCTCGATTTATTCTAGGGATGTAAAAATACGAGAATACAAGATGAA